TAAGAAGTGTTACTCGGTTTGTTCTACTTCTCTTGATGATGTTTTTAATGTCTCAATAAACTTAAAACCTACACACAACGTATAGTTTCATATAACATCATTTTATTATATGGTAAATACAACATATACTTGGAGTTGAAGTATTCAGAGATAAAAATTTTATTATAAAGGCTTTTTTGTGATATAAAAATGTAGATATGCGTATAAGAATAAAAATTAAAATATTTATTGGTAAATATTCAAAAATACAATTCCACAGCAGCAACATGGTATTTGGCGTAGGATATAAAATTATTACATGTTTTTTATTACGAAATTTGCGTTTAAACATTTAGATGATTCGGTTAATAATGAAATTTTAAGAACGAAATTAAAGGTTGTCCTATTCTTGAATTTTATAAAATTAATTTTGTACCAAACTTCAAGATTTTTAAGATAAAGGTCAAAGTTATAAAACACATAAAAAGTTTTAGAATGTAAGCGCTTCTTTTTTTTTCAATGCAAAAATTTAAAAATATAGTGACGTGTTTAATAAGTAATTTTTATTTTATTTTTACTTGTTAAAAGCATAGTTTTTAAGAAGTATTTTATAGACAACAAACGTTTCCTGTGTCAGCATGGACACTTTTTTCATCAGTTAACGAGTTATTGGACGATTATTCAGGCACCCGTGGTCAAACAGATAAGAAAACGATCTTAGCTGAGGTGTAAAGTTATTTTTTATGATTTTTTATAGCATGCTCTGGAACGAAAGAAAAATCATAATATAGATTAAGATTATTTAGAAATTTATAAACATAACAATAAAGTTTTCTTTTAAAAATGAAATGTTGTTTATGATAACAAACAGAGCAATCACATGTTATTCTTTCATTGCGATATATCACCATTTAGCCGTGGGGTGGCAATGGTGTGAACATTCACCTAGTGACACTCTAGAAGTATCTGGACCCCTACCTTCGCGACTGCTATGTCCACCATTTTCAGTCAAACAGTACGGAGTGCGTGGCTTAAGATTTAAGCTCGCTTTACTTTCTATTCCATTCACATACACAGCTAAGACCCTTTTTTCCTAAGAAATTTTGAGCTAGTTATCTTTAATTCGTAATTAAAAATATATTTCAGCATAATAATGTAGATTTTTATTATGTAAGCATTCAAGAAATAGAGTGAATTTGGTTCGAATCATATTTCACGCATTCCAGACTGTTTGACTGAAAATGGTGAACGGCTTAGTAGTGGGGGTAAGTGTCCAGACACTCCTAGAGTGTCACTTCATTTACCTGACCTAAATAAAAACTGCCAAATCAAAAAAATGTATACTTGCCGCCACTAGATACAATTAACAGAGAATAAAAAGTTGCCCTGCAAAAGTGGCATTAGCAACAAAATTTGGACTTACTTAACACTTGAAAACTGACATTGGAGTGAATGGAGCTTCCACGTATAAACAATACTTGCCTTTACTTTGTCTAACCTTTTCTCACCATATTTGATACCTACACTAAAGTAACTGCAATCATTTCAGGCTTCTTTATTGTAAAAATAAGAAAACGTCGATTTAATTGCAAAAAGAATATATTCTTATTTAAGTAGAAGATTATAAAAAGCGAAAAACAGGAGAACCAAAGTGAGTCGTAATCTCAAGTCATAAGATGAAAAAATAACAAAATGAAAGTCGCCTGGCAATGGCGTAACTACGCAACTACTTGTTCTATTTCGAAATGGCAAAACGCCCGTAATGACTATCATTATGTCGTGACTTTTCATAGTGTTTCAAATCATCGAAGACAGGTAAAAACAGCTCCAAACACGGTATCCGTATTAGCGCACGTTGCCTAGGTCTCGGGGTCCTGTATGCCCTTTGACCGGTGAAAATAGAACACTAGCAAATAAAAAGGCATACAAAAATAAATACGTTTCAATATTGAANGGGGTGATGAGGAGGGGCAAGGAGGTTTGGGAAAAAATGGGGTCCTTTTTATTGGGTTTATATAAGGGAGAAATGTTTAGATTTTTACCTTATTGTGAGGAGGGCTTGAAAAATATTTCAAAATTTTAAGGGGGGCCAAGAAGGGGCCAGGTTAGTTAAAGACTGAATTCGGCCTTACAACTATATTTTACATACATACTGATACATATATATATATTTTTGACCACAAAACGGTTTAAATTGTGAGGGATGGATGGGTGACAGAGGGGATGAAGAAAAATCGGAGGGAGATGCGTTGGGAATAAATGGAGAATTCGTGGGAGATAGAGGGGGATAGAAGCGGATGGAAAGTAATGGAGGGGGATGTAATGGAATATACAAAACAGCAAGAAAACAAACGAATAATAAGGTATTATGGGTGGGGATGGAAAAAGATGCAGGGAGGTTAGAGGGTGACTTCCCTTGATATAAATTATAGGAATACACAGGTATCTCGGACCCTAATTTAGGCAGATACGGCATGACCTTTTGAGCGCTTTCGGAAGCCTATGAGGGTCTGATCATGGCTTTCGATATCTCGTAAAACTAGGCTTTTTTTAATAATCTTACAACTGCGCATGTGTTCAACCATTTTTTATAAAAATTATCGGAAAACATGCTTACTTTTGCGAGATATTTGAAGCCATGATCAGACCCTAGATCAAAATTTTTATCAATACTTGATCAATACCACATTGAGAACGAGTTAGGGTTCTTATTTATTATGCCAGTGACACTACACTCATTGTCTATGGCAACCAGACATTAACTTTTTATGTGCATTGCCCCTTCTAGTTAAAATAAATTCTGCTTATCGCGCTAGCTCTAGGACTAGATCTAGTGCTTTATTATACGCAATAACGATCGAGATATAAGGTCATACAACTCACGCAGAGTATGTGTGGGTCATAAAGATAAAAGTTCGATAATTTAAGAGTGTTGAACACATATAAAAAATGGCACTATTGATTTTTTATTTGCATCGTATAGTTTAGTAGCCGCTTGTCCTATAGTGGCAACGAACTACTTAGGCTTTTGGTCAAGGCTTAATATACGATGCATTACTTTTCAACTTGATTTTAGGGCCAAAGTGTATGTACAGTTTTTGATTAAGAATGAAGGAATTTATTTGCAATATTAGTGGCAATAAATCAATAATACTCCAAAGTTACTGACTTGTATCCATAGTTGGGGTATATGAGCTTGATGTTCACACAGTAAGGGCCGATGGATGCAAAAACTAAAAAGCGACAGATGATGGAAAAGACGTTTTGATACTTTACCACCAAAACGACTTAAAATGCTTGTTTTTTAATTGGAACAAAAGCAGTACCTCTTTTGACATAAATACTAACTTTTACACTCATATACTCTACACAAGTCATATGTGGTTATACCACAAGGCTTCAATAAAGTCTTACATACATACATACATACATACATACATACATACATACATACATACACTTGTCTTCATTTTACACGTATAAACTGAGGAAATCATCTGAGTCAGTTATGGTGGAATCTTAAATATCTACATCTGCTTAGTCATACTTGCTTTTCATGACAGCTGACTAAGTTCAATGAGCTGCGATGGCATGGTGGTGGGTAAGAAGGTTATCGGCGCCTACAGCTCTTCTTTCCGTCATTATCTAATTTATTAAACCACATGAACTTTATATGGAACATTTTTTTCAAAATTCCGCACTCATTAAAATTCGATCAAAAGATATTTTCTTCTGCATTTCTTCGTGCCCTTTCCATTAACGCAAACCTTTTTTTGCTTTATGATTTCTTTTCAAGTAATAAAGGTTTATTGAAACATTTTGTGAAAAACGTTACCCTTGCAAAAAAATCCTACATTTACAGCTTTTTTTACCATTTTTCCCGTCAGTTATACACGTGGTTGATTACATTGAAACATCAAAAAGGCGTCCAACTGTTTGTATAGACCATCGAACATTATGCCAAAAATAAATTCAAGCTCGTAAATGATGGAAAAGCTCCCGTAGGTACCAATATCACAAAAAATCTAGACTCTTTAAAATAAAAATAATTTAAAATTGATATTTTACTAGTATTTACTGGCTGAGCTCTCTAAGTAGAGAGAGTATCAAACATACAGCGTCCATGTGCCTTAAACATTGTAAATTGTGCGTTGTAGCCTTTGGCATCTTTATTAAGTCAAATCGAATTTATAATCCATGACTTTATAATCTCACTTGTTTTGGACGCAAAACAGTGGAAGAACACGTGACATGGTGCACAAGACCATGTTATCCTAATTTACGAGCCATCTATGAAATTGCTTTTCTGACAATTTAACACTTATCTAACATAATAAGCTAAGAAGTTCCTACATCATGTAATGCAGAATCATTCACCTGATCAGAATAGGTTATAGACTTGAGTTTAGAAAAAACTTTTTCAAAACATATTTTCTTTGTTTTATTCTCCCGTTCGAATAGAAAATTTCAGTATAATATATTATTAATATTTACCTACATATTCCAAAAGCCATACAACAACTGGGCATTAGAAGATTTCTATTAAAATTTACAAAGCAAAAAAAAAGTCATGAGCCAGAGCTTGAACCTCAACTTTCTACGCCTTCTTGCTAAAAATTGCATGTGCCAATTTTTCTGCAGAAGTCTTGATTGTTGCTTGTATTTTATTATCTTATTAAGCGCGCCTTTTAATTGTGTACCTGTAATATACCTATGTTGTTCCTCGTGAATGGATTCAATGAATATTTTAATTTGTTAATACATTTTACTTCTTTGTACTTTTAGGTTCAAGCCAGGGACAAAGCCAGTACTTTTTAAAATTGTTTTGTTGATTTTTTATTAGAAAGTTTTAATTTGCAGTTATTACATTTATTTTAAAGCATACTTATTAACTTTAATGTAAAATTGTTTATTCCTTCTTACTGTGTAACGACTACAATAGAAACTTGAGGAGGGGAAAGTGTTCATGCGTCTGTGTCAAAACGTTGATCACTGTAAGTCAACGTGTTTAATGTGTTTACCTTCCGCCAACCAGAAGATAGTTTCCATCTCGAAGCATGAGTCGGAAATAATCAGTATGTGTCTCATTTCCAGTAAATCTGAACACGTCCTCTGCTCCTGTAACAAAAAATTTTTTATGGACAAATCTTTCACAGTTTTATACCTAGAGTTCACAAACACAGTTTTTATTTTATTACACTCTTATACAATATCAGATTTGAAATCAACTTTTATTTCTTACACTAAATTAAAAAAAATCTTAGTAATAAGTATAGTAAAATTAAATGATATACTAAGAAAGAAGAACATTTATTGAGTAATAATTGTTTGTATAATTCTAAAACCACTACTTCAAAATTTTTATTTCTAATTTCATGGCAAGTGTTTATAATGTTGAAGCAAATCAACAGTAATACAAGTTTTTTCATTGAACGAATAGTGTTTAACTTTAAAGTTGTATTTTTACACACTATGAAGTATACAGTCATTATCTTTCTAATCTTGTGGACTAGACTAAAATTAAATAGAAATTTTATTCAGATTACTCATATTACTTTAACGATTGTCTACATTCAATTATGTGAGGCCGAAGAAAGCACAGTGTCAGTAATTTGTTATCAGGTTGGAGAAAAGAAGGAAAAGATAAAAACAAAATTAATGCATGAGGGTAAAGTAAAGACGGCACCTATGGAAAAGAAGAGGCAGGGATCACCTACTATAATAAATATGTTGTAAGCGTAGGTTACCAACTTAGAAAAAGTGCACCATTTTTTCTTCCTTAATATGTATATNTCAAACTGAGCCCCCCCCTCCTAAATTGCTGATTGATCGTCATATATGGACTTTTTTTTATACTATAGTGCTCTACGTCCGGCTCCTTTAATAAGGGCACTACTATGGGCACTTAGCACTTTGGAGAAGGAAGGGAAGAGGGATAGGAGGCCTCACATTACTGGGAGGAAGGTATGGGGAAATTAGGCAATTATGCTGCGAGGAGGTTGCCTAAACTCTCCTCGAGGAGCATTGCGTGGTGAAAAAGCACATGTGAAAAATCACAGAGGTACTTGCCCGAAAAGTCGCACTGGCCGAGAATCGAACCACGGTCGCCCGCGTGCAAATCCACGACCCAGTTGACTGAGCCACTGCGCGCTCTAATATATATATATAAATATTAGTTAGGCTCGACCCCCCTGCGTGCTCTGCACGCCAACACCTTAATTTTTGAATCAGTTATATACTTCATTTTTCCAGTTTGCCTTTTGAAGTTAAAAAAATTCAAAAATCTTTGTAAAGTAGTTAAAGAGTCAAAACAAAAGTAGTGTAAACTTAATAATGATCTCCTTACGAATTTTTAAGACAATTATGAGCCTCGTTTTTAATGGCAAAAAATATCCAAGGAGATGAAATTTAAGAAACAATTTTATTCATTTCATTGATTATATAGTGTTTCCGAAAAAAAAGGTGTTATATGTTCTTTTTACTTAACTTTAAAATAATAATATGGGATTCTAATAATTACAGATAAGAATAGTGACAGAAGTTATAATAATGAGAAAACAGTGGTTATACTCTCTGACCGTAATGCTCTCCGATTGTAAATTATGATTTTCAAAATTTTATGTAAACAAACGGATACAATTTTTTTTATTGATGGTCCTGGAGGTTCAGGAAAAAATTTGTATGTAAAACGTTGATTTATTATCTTATTTCTCGTGTATAAAAAATTTTTTCTCTAGTATGGACTGGTAAAGCATCAATATTACTTCTTAAAGAATTGACCAGTCATAGAACATTTCGTTTACCATTAGTCTTAAATAATGTAGAAAATTTGTTTTTGGAATTTGAATCAGAAAAAAAAATTGAAAGAATAGATTTAATTATATGGGACAAGGCGTCTATGACCCCCAAAAAAGCCTAAAAATAGTTGAAAGAACATCACGTAATTTAATGGTTTATTTAGATTTTATCAGTGCCCTCCGAAGAAATTGGAAATTCAAGGTGATCAGTGATCCGTTGGGGGTGAGATGTGAGAAATAAATAAACACAACTAGAGTGTATTTCGATTTTTTCTCTTACTTTGTTTTATTAATGCGCATCGTTTCGCTGACATATGTGTCAGCCTCATCAGGTGCAGGCACGCGAGAATTCGTAAGTGTATTGACTTACTCGTCACCTGTCGAACTATTGACTGACAATGAGGCTGACACATATGTCAGCGAAATGTTGCGCATTAATTAAACAAAGTAAGAGAAGAAATTTAAATATACTCTAGTTGTGTTTATTTATTTCTCACATCTCGCCCACAACGTATCACTGCTCACCTTGAATTTCCAATCACGTGATTTATGTGGTACAAATATCTATTTTAATAACAAATCAATTGTTTTAGGAGGTGATTTCAGACAGACTTTTCCAGTTTTAAAAAATAGTAATAGAAGTTGATTTATACAAGAAAGTATTAAATCATTATATCTTTGGTCGTTTTTTTGTATTCCAAAACTTAATATTATCCATATTCATTCAATTGACAAAACATTTTTTTAATTATTATTACATATTGGAGAAGGAACAACTGAGTCGTTTAAAAAACTCAATAGATGAAAATAACTTGTTTATTACGATATCTTTGGTAAAGATACTATTTTTTCAATAAATAGTGTATACTTACATCTTATAACAAATATACTCACTTTTTTAACAATAACATTCTAAATCATGTAAAAAGAGAAATGAAAACATATTACAGCATGGATCATGCAACTTATAAGTATTACAACTTACAATTTTGAAGTAAAAATTATAACTGGAAAAAATGGATAGAGTTTTTATACTAAAAATAACTCTTAGTACAGGAAATTTATTATCATTACCATTTATTTTTTACAGAAAAGAATTTCCTTTAGTCTTAGCGTTTTCAATGACTACAATGGATCTCAAGGTCTAAGTATTAATAATATTGGATTATATTTGAAAAAACCACTGTTTTTGCATAGTTAATTATGCGTTGCGTTATCTAGATACAAAAATAAAAATGGAATTCATATTCAAATAAAACAGAATAATGGTTTGGAAAATAGAAAATGTTGTTTGGAAAGAAATTTTTGACGTTAACTAATTCAAGATAATAATCTTGCACAGTTATTTTAAACGATAAATAAATGTATAAGGTTAATGAAATTATTATTTAAGTATTGTTTCATGACAACAAGAATTATTTAATACATTTCAATAAATATGATTTCTATCTTTTCGTGGTAAATAGAGCTACGTCCATAGTTAAAATATTTTTACAGTTTATTCATTGTAATTGATTAATTATAAGAATATAACGTCATGTTCTTATGCCTATTCAATAGTGCAATTAATGAGCTTTTTTAAGAAATTCAGGAAAAAAAGCCAGGGCACCATAGCACTACGTCAACGGTGGTATGAAAATGTGCTGATGTGCTAGAAATCATAAGCTTTCTTAAAACTGAAAAGACATGAGAGCTAAAACAGAAGGTGCAAATAGTTATATAACTGAGAGTAACATACAAATTAATATAATTTTACCTCATTTACAGATGCGGCTAAAGGGTGACTGGATAAAGTTTTTTAAAATTGTTTTGGATTACCTGGTGGTTCAGTTATGAAGTTATGACAAGAGGTGAAAAGGAACTTAACAAAAATTTAACCCAATAAAAAAAGGTAAATACTAACAGTATGAAAATGTGCAAACAAATTATACAGCTAAAGCTTTATAGAGCTGAGAGTGGGGGTGCAAAAGGTATTTAACCTAAAAATGACATGATTGCTAATAAAATTTTACTTTATTTAGAGATACCACTAATAGAAGGTTGAAGGAGATTCTTTGGAGTTGTAAGGGAGGCTTATTGAGTTATCTGGTTATTGGGTTATATAATTACGAAGGGGGTGGAAGGGGGCTAAACAAAAATTTAACCCAATAAAAATATAGTTAAAACCGATAGAATCTTACCTTATTCAAAGGGGGGTCAAGAAGGAGCTGAGAGGGGTTTATTAAAATTGAGCAGGGGCTGAGGCTTACTAAAAAGTAACCCAATAAAAATTACGTAAGAACTCTTTGAGTTTTACCTTATTTAGAGGGTAGCTGGAATATATAT